TTTTTATACTCATTTCTTCTTTTAGTATAAGTTTCTTGGCATTTGTCCAGGTTTTTAAGCATCTCGGTACCACATTCCTTCCAACTGCTAGTAAAGTTTACATTACTGGTTGGTAGCCGTTTGCCCACGCAGGTGCTTCCTATGCCTTAGTGTGAGCCTATTTCTCCGAGATGTATTCTCTAGAGTGCCATTTTGGCTTGTGTGGTTAAGTATGTACTTCAATTTATAGTAAACTACCAACCTCATTTTCAGACTGGCACTTTACCACTGATGTGTCAGGTCTGTCTTATCAGTGTCATCTCTAACACTTGGTGTTGTTACTGGATGTTTTTTATTTAATGTTCTGGTATCCACAAGCATGCAGTGATTCCTTGTGGTTTTATTTTCATTTCCTTGATAGCTAATGTTTTTGAATGTAGTTTCACTTGCTGACTGTCTTGTGAACATATTCATGTTCTTCTCTCATTTCTGATAGGACTGATTTTTTTACTGTTGAGCTTTGAGAGTTCTTTATGACTCCTAGATATAAATATTTATTTATCTATTTATTTACTTATTTACTTATTTTTGTTGAATATGTGGATTATAAGTGGTTTCTTCTAGCAAGGAGAGTAGTTTTAAATTTGCTTTTTGTTGTTACAGTGTTAAATCCAGGCTAAGATGAACTACATGTTCAGCTTTAGGAGTTTCACTTCTTTTTATAAAAAGATCTATCCCTGGATAAGATGCTCAATCCTTATGCAGAAAGGCAAACGGGATAAACATCAGAAGAGGGAGAAAACAGGGAACAGTACAGAAGCCTACCACAGAGGGCCTGTGAAAGACTCTACCCAGCAGGGTATTGAAGCAGATGCTGAGACTCATACCCAAACTTTGGCAGTGTGCAGGGAATCTTAGGAAAGAAGGGAAAGATGAAAGACCTAGAGGGCACAGGAGCTCTGCAAAATCTGGGCCCAGGGGTCTTTTCTGAGACTGACACTCCAAGCAAGGACCATTCATGGAGATAACCTAGAACCCCTGCACAGATGTAGCCCATAGCAGCTCAGTCTTCAAATGGGTGCCCTAGTAATGGGAACAGGGACTGTCTTTGGCATGAATTCAGTGGCTGGCTCTTTGTTCACCTCCCCCTGACGGGGGAGCAGCCTTACCAGGCCACAGAGGAAGACAATGCAGCCAGTCCTGATGAGACCTGATAGGCTAGGGTCAGATGAAAGGTGAGGAGGACTTCCCCTATCAGTGGACTTGGGGAGGGGCATGGGAGGAGAAGAAGGATGGTGGGTGGGGTTGGGAGGGGATGAGGGAGGGGACTATAGCTAGGATACAAAGTGAATAAATTGTAATAAATAAAATAAATATATACACTTTAAAAAGATTTGTTTATTTATTAGTTATACAGTATTCTGCTTGCCTGTGAGCCAGCAGGCCAGAAGAGGACACCAGATCTCATTATAGATGGTTATGAGCCACCTGGGGGGAACCTCAGATGTCTGGTTTTTTAGACCCTGTGTTTTATGTCAACCCAGTTCCCCAAATGTAGATGCTTTAGTCTTCATTTTGTATCATCTAGGTAGGATAGAGTGGTGTGTGAATTTAGAGAGTCTTAATTTGTTGATATCTTCTAATTTTTCTATGTCTTTAGTAGAATTACCTACATGCTTGCAATTTTCCAGACTAGAGATCCTTTGATTCAATAAAAAGGATTATTTTTTATTGTAATGCCAAATAATATTTTAGTGTATGGAAGCTACCACATTTTGCTTATTCATCAGTTGATAGATGGTTTATCAGTTGGTTTATCTCTACATTTTGTTTATTTTGAATGATGCTACTGTGAAGCTCCTCTGTGTTTTTGGTTAGAAATTATGTTTTTATTTGTCATATATATATAAATATATATATGTATGTATGGGTCATTGAGCAAATCTAATGTTTTGCAGACCTGCCAAAACACTGTGTAAAGCATTTTGCTTTCCCATTGGAATTCCAGCTTACATTTTATGAGAACCTTGTATTCTTTTGTTTTGATTTTAGCCATCTCTGAGGATATAAAGTGAGTCGTATTTTAGTATAGTTTTAATTTGTATTTCCTTGATAGCTAATGATGGTAAACATCAGTTCATGTGTTTATTGACTATTTTAAAACCTTCTTTGAAGAAATGTTTAAGTCCTTTGCCCATTTTTAAACTATGCTATTTGTCCTTTTTATTTATTATTTATTTATTTATTTTGAGTTGTAAGGCTTCTTTCTGTATTTTGCATGGGAATTCCTCATCAGATGTATGACATATATATATATATGAGCCAGCATATATTATATTATATTTTATATATATATATATATATATATATATATATATATATATATATATATTCATTCTGTGAGTTTGTGCTGGCTAGCTTTAAGGAGATGGCTCAGTTGGTAAAGTATTTGGATATTAGGTACCACATGAGAACTTGTGTGGTGATGACAGCGTCTGTAGTCTCCATGCTGGGGCAGTGGACATAGGCTGATGCCTTGAGCTCTTTGGACTAAGCTAGTTGAGTTAGTGAGAGTTCAAAAGTTAAGCTAGAGCGGTGTTGATGGAGACTTCTTTCAAGACTTGTGGCCTCCACATTGTATGTCCACATGTGCATGCCCATGGGGTGCAAGCACTCCACACACAAAGATCAACAGGAAAAAGCCAGAAACTACCATTGCCTAAATTAATGATGATGAAAATTTAAAATAATGATCCAAATATTCCACCAAACTTCCTAAAGCTGTTTACTAATTATAGCAGATTTTTTTGTGTATGTGTGTGGAAAGGAGAGAGGGAGGCAGATGAGAGAGAAAAAAAGAGGAAGAGAGGGAGAAATTTCTATAGGCATAAGCATGTTACTTGTGAATGAAGTAATTTGATTTCTTCCTGTCCTAGATGCCTTTTATTTGTTTTTCTGGTCTATGTGCTCTCTAGTATAGTTCTGAGTAAAAGTGGCAAGAGAAGACATTACTTTTTGCTCATCTTAGTGGGAGGAAATATATACTTATATAATTTTAGCTATGAGTTGTTCTCTTTAAAAGTGTTTTATTAAGACTCTACCCAGCAAGGTATCAAAGCAGATGCTGAGACTCATTGCCAAACTTTGGGCAGAGTGCAGGGAATCTTATGAAAGAAGAGGGAGATAGAAAGACCTGGAGGGGACAGGAGCTCCACAGCGAGAGCAACAGAACCAAAAAATCTGGGCACAAGAGTCTTTTCTGAGACTTGATACTCCAACCAAGGACCATGCATGGAGATAACCTAGAACCCCTGCAGAGATGTAACCCATGGCAGCTCAGTCTCCAAATGGGTGCCCTAGTAATGGGAACAGGGACTGTCTTTGACTAGAACTCAGTGTCTGGTTCTTTGATCACTTCCCCCTGAGGGAGGAAAATCCTTAGCAGGCCACGGAGGAAGACAGTGTAGCCAGTTCTGATGAGACCTGATAGGTTAGGGTCAGAAGGAAGGGGAGGACTTCCCCTATGAGTGGACTTGGGGAGGGGCATGGAAGGAGATGAGGGAGGGATGGTGGGATTGGGAGGGAATGAGGGAGGAGGCTACAGCTGGAATACAGTGAGTAAACTGTAATTTATGAAAAAACATAAAATTTAAAAAAGTGTTTTATTAATTATTATTGTTTATCGTATGTGTTTGTGTGTGTATGTGTGTGTGTGAGAGAGAATAGTACCATGTGCAGACCAGAACATTTGTTTGAAGGTCAGAGGACAGCCTTGTTTTCTTCTCTCTTTTTAAATTTTCTCTCCTACACTGTACCATCCCTGCAGTTTCCCCTCTCCACCACCTCCCTACCCCTGTTTCTGTTCCTCCTCAGCTTCCCTCCCAAAAAAGAAAAAAGGGGCGGGGTGGGGGTTGGAATCAGGCTTCCTGGAGATATCAAGTCACATGGCATAACAAATCACTAGACCATCCTGGTCTACAAAGAAATGGAGTGCTGGCCCACGCCTTTAATCCTAGTAGCCAGGGGGCAGATCTTTTTGAGTTCATGGCCAGCCTGGTACAAAACCCTGTTTTGCACAATAAAACAAAACAAAACCAACAAACAAAATCATCTAGGCACAGACCTTCATATCAAGGGGGATGAAGCAAGTCAGTAAGAGGAAAAGTGTTCCATGCAGAGGCAAAAGAGTCAGACTTTCCCTACTCCCACTGTTGGGAGTGCCACAGGAACACCATCAGTGAGTCCCACAAGAACACCAAGCTACACAACCATAAATAACATATGCAGAGTACCTAGATCAGACCATGCAGGGTCCAAGTTTATCACTCCAGTCTTTGCTTAGTTGATTCTCCTTGTATCCTAGAGCTCTGTGACTCCTACAGACCTTTCTTCCCCTCTTCTGTGGGGTTCCCCTGGCTCTGTCTAGTGCTTGACTGTGGGTCTCTGTATCTGCTCCCATAAGTTTGCTGGATGACGCCTTTCTGAGTTGGCTGGGTACCAATCTATGAGTATAGTAGAATATCATTAGGAATCATTTTTTTTTTTTACTTTTTTTTTTTTTTTTAAATCAGTCATGCTTTGTTCTATCCTGGGTCTCCGGGTTGTCCTGCCTTCAGTTCCTGGCCCTCCAGTCCCTTTCCTGGCATGGGCCAGAGGACAGCTTCTAAGAGTGGTTCTCTCCTCTTTCTGTGTATTCTGGGAGTCAAATTCTATGATTATATGGTATATTTTATTGATTACTTTTTAGCTCTTAAGCCACCTTTGCATTTCCGGGTAAATTTAACTTGGTTTGTAAACATCTGGTAGAGTCTTGTAGGGAAGCTATCTGAGCTTGCACATTTGCTTCTGCTCATTTTTTAGGTTATCATATTAGTGTAAGATTTTGGTTAAGGACAATTAGAATTGAAAGTTTTTCTTACACTTCTTACTGATATTTTATAAAGACAACTCTTCCATAAAACATCCCTCCAAAGTGATAGTTTGATATATTTAACCATAGCTTTCTTTTTTCTCCTCTGTAGGTTCGTAGCTCCTGTGGAAATCAGTAAACCATGGCATCTAAGAAATTTGCCATTAAAGTAAGTAATGCTCAGTAGCTGCCTTTAAAAGGTCAGTCACATTCTCATATATGAGTTTTGACAATTCTTAAATTGATCTCTACTTTTCAAATTTAGAATTGTGGAAATTTTAAGTAGATAACATCAAAAATTTTAAGAAGAGTTGGAGGAGAAAACTAATAGTTTTACAATTTATAAGGAATTCTTTGCTTAAAATCTTTTATGTAGGATATTTTTTGGTCATGACTTTGTTCCCAGAGATAATATTAATCATTCACATTGCATGTCCATAGCATGACTTCTGAGGATGACCAAACAGGTGAAAGTCAAAGGAGAGGGCGATGCTATTGTATCTGGGAGAGCACCCCTGCTTGGCTGCTGTCTTGTTAGCTTTCATTGTCAGCTTAACACAGAAAAGAATGGTCTGAGGAAGAGCTTAGTGAGAAATTGCTTGGATTAGATTGGTGTGTGGCCATATCTAGGGGAGGAGTGTTGTCTTGTGCATTTGTCGATGCAGGAAGGGCCCAGTTCACTGTGGATGGGTGGTCCTGGCTAAGAACGTGATATAAGCATGGGCATATGAATGACCCTGTGTGAAAGCTAATGGGCAAGCCAACAAGGAGTGTTCCTCCACAGTTTTTGCTTCAAGCTCCTGTCTTGAGTTCAGGCCCTGACTTTCCTCAAAGATGGCCAGTGATGTGGAGTTGTAAGCTCAAACAGCTACCCCCCACCTCCAGTTGCCTTTATCCAATGTGTTTTCACAGAAACAGAAAGGAAACTAGAACAGCTGGCTTCTTTCATTTTTCTCTTATAAATATTCCTTCTCTATCGATTAATAGTAAAATTGAGACCTTCTTAGGTATGGAGTGATAAAGGGTTCTCTGTGGGGACAATAAAGTATTTGATAAATACTTTGTGTTAGCTATTGGAGATACTTTAATATATGTTGGCAGTTCTGTTGGTCACTTCTGTGTAACAGTGTTGTCTTCCATAGCAATTAAAAACACCAAAGCAGGGCAGTAAGATGGCTCAGAAAGTCAAAGCACTTGGTACAAAGTCCGATTTATCTTGGTTTGATCCTCCATTGTACTCCTGAGATCTACGTGGTGGTGGGAGAGAACCAGCACACGCAGGTTGTCTTGTTGCCTAAATATATACAAGTACATATATAATTGAACAACAAAATCAAAGCATAAATTCCAGTATTTAATTGATTATGAAACAATATAATAATATTGTTATTTTATCTTAGCTAAATCAGGCTTATTTAATTTACTAAGGCATTTATAAATTTCATTGTTTATAATTGCTTCTGGTATGCATATAATCTTGAGTATTTCATAAGGTTGTCTGAGTGGGGAACATTCATTATTCATCTATAAAAATATATTTTGATTTTCTTCTAGACTTCTAGGGTCTAGAAAGATATTAAGTTGCTTTTAGAATTCTAACTTGAACATTATTTTAATATGTAGCAAGATTCTGTCTCAAAAGCAAAAGTAAATAAAATTATATGGTAACATACACCATTAATTTTGGCACTCAGGAGGCAGACGTAGGTGGATATCTGTTAATTTAAAGCCAGCCTGGTCTACATAGTGAAACCCTGGAGAGAGAGAGAAACAGAGACAGAGAGATTGATTCCTGGCTTAAAATAATAACTTAAAAAATAACCTCATAACTCTTTCCTGATTTTGTGTAGGTGGTGTCTCCTTTGATGTTAACTGTGAATGTGTTTATTTAGGACTCAATTTAGGTGAAACATCAAGTGTGGCACCCTCATATGGCTACCAGTCATCACCTTGCCTTTCTTCATCCTCATTGTTGTTGGTTTTAGATTCTCCTAGCGTAAAGAAGACTTATAAGAAAAAAAAAAAAAAAAGAAGAATTATAAGTACAGAGCAGTATAATTTAGTCATCCTCAGGCCTTATCGCCTAGACTTAAGTCTCAGCTACCCCACCTGTTACTCTGTTGGTCAAAACAAGGACCAGTCCAGAGAAGGGACCTTAATTTGTTATATGGTAAGCTCCCTGCATGGGGAGATGTTGGGTTGGCTCTTTGGAGGCTGGTTGTCATAGAAGTCTTCTGACAGCCTACTATGATCAGTCCCTTTCCTGATGGCCAAATATGACCAATCTTTTTCCTGGTTATCTGTCCTTTGTCTGTGCTGGCTCTTAAGATTTTATATCAGTCTTCAATATTACACAGTTTAATTGTCAAATTTCTAGACATGGATTTCTCTGTCTTGGAATATCATATAATACGTTCAGTTTTGGAAATTTCTCATCATTTTTCTACGTGGCATTACATGTTCTTATGACTCTGTTCTCTTCTTTACAACTTATATATGAAGTTTTCTGGGTAACGTCAAGTTAGAAGAATGAAATGTGTACAGGTTGGAAGAATGAAATTAACCTTCTTAGACTATGGCAAAGCAAGCTATGTGTTTGAAATGGACTAGGCTTTTTTGGTATAGAGTTCAACCGAAGCTTTCTGTGGCCCAGGAGGACACATAATTTTGGTCATCTGTGTCGTGCCAACTCTAGATCTTTAATTTCATATTTGTCAGAGACGAATGCTATGTCCCTGACACATCCGACCTTACTACATACTATCCCATTTCCCAGCTGTGTCTGAGAGGCTTAGAATTCAGCTTCTAGATCATCATGAATTTCAGGCTTGCAGACTAGCTATAGAGACTGGCCCAACCCATGGTATTGTGGTCATGTTCCTCCTGCCTCTGAGGACACAGGCAAGGGACAACTTTGCTCTGTTCCATCCCAGAATCATGCGCTTGGTGCTGTCATAACATGCCTTTTGCAGTGGATAGGTCCAGAAGGGGTGTATGGTGCATAGCCACAAACTTTTCTTCTTTTCATCCCTTTTAGCTCAATGTTTCATTCAAAGTGCCCCTTCCCCGCCTGCCAGCCTAAATATCAGCTTTTAATTTCGGAGTGCTTTTTCATCATGCTTATTCCACTTAGCCAAAACCTCTTCATTTGAATTTAATACATAGCTGAAACAGAAAAATGCACACTGTGGGTGAGAAAGGTCAAGCCAAAAAGTGTTAATCTGAAAAGAATAATAGCTATTTTAATTTTAGTGATGATTTTTTCATTTACAAATTTGTTATTTTTGTTTTTTTAAAAAAAATCAAATTTTACTAGTTTTTTTTCTTGAATGCTTGCACTATTTTTTTTTTTTTTCCAAAACAGGGTTTCTCTTTGTAGCCTTGCCTGCCCTGGCCTCACTTTGTAGACCAGACTGGCCTTCAATTCACAGAGGTAGATCTGCCTACCTCTTCCTGAGTGCTGGGATTAAAGTCCTGTGCCACCATGCCTGGCCATGCTCTATTTTAAGAGATTTCTGTTTTCTCATTTTATCATCCTAATAATTCTACAGTAATTTAGTTAATAATAACTTTTAAGTTTTTCTATATTTCCAATATTACTTACCATGTGTGAAATAAATTGATCACTGAAATTGCTGCATTGTTTAAATGATATTCACTTTTTAATTTTTGTATTTTGAGATAAAGCCTTGCTGTACTACCTAACCTGACCTAAAATTCATGATGTTTTGCCTCAGCCTCCCAGTTGCTGAGATTACAGACTATCTTTGTTGTTTTTGATATTGTACATAACATTATACACATCTATGCCTTTCAACATACATGGGTAAAAGGATATACTCTGAAGAGCAGCTGAACAGGTTTAGCTTCATTCCTTCTGAGACCATTGGCAGTTTGTTGATAGTAGACCAGGTTTAATTTCATGGCTTAGGGTTCTATTAACCTGTGGCTAGTATATATTCAGAACCCACAAGAGAATAGGGTAGGGGATCATTGTTTTTGCACTTGGCAGATACTTTACTTCCTTGCTTTTTTTGCTCCCTTTTTTACTTCCAGGATTCTAGATGAATGGTACCATTGCTTTCACTGTTCACTTTTAGGTATAGAGAAGATCAGTTTTAATTACATTTTCATAAATGTTAGCACTGTTTCTCAAAGGAATGAAGTAAAAAGCTCTGTTGAACAGCTCCTGTTCCAGAAAACTTATACATTTTGTTATAGACCAACTGAGCTTAAAAGTATTGTCTGATGGTGGTACAGATTGAGTACTGGTATGCTAAACAATGAATTATGTGATGAAAGCATACATGAATCTCTACACATTGGAATTTTCCTAATTTCAGGCTCAGCAGAAGTGGCTTTAGTTGTAAGCCCCCTTCTTGTCAGTACTTCTAGAGCACTATGACACCAGCTCTCCATCTTCCCCATTAAATCCTGGGCTAGACACCCTGACAGCCCACATGAAATCATGGTTATTCATAGAGCTATCGGGTTTATACTTTCAGTATTCTTTTTAGATAACTACCAGTTTCTTATCTATGATTTTTTCCCCTTTACTTGAGCATGCTTCCTCTTCCTCTCCCATATTCTTAAGGCAGAAGCCTAAGTCTTTGCATCAAATCTTTCTTTTCTGTCATGTGTCCCTAAAGTTGTATAGTCATCAAATTGTGTCCTTCATAGTGGATGCTATTAAAGTAGGGATTTGGTCAAATAATTCCTAAATTTCATTATAATTTATTTTTCAGTCTAATGATTATTGCAACTTCTGTTGTATCTGCATGGGAATTTCTATTGATTATGTTTAAATTGGTGTTTAGGGAAGTTCTTCTGTTGTAATAAAATACTGTTCTCTAAGCATTTGAAAGTGTGATATCATCTAGGAATACACACACACACACACACACACACAAATAGCATATGTAATGCCAGGTATAATAATATATAATAAACATATATAAAATGTATGTATAAAACAAGTCAGATTTGGCACTTGTGTTATATCAGTCTTCTGTGTATCTGCTAATATTTTTTGTCTATTTGTTCATTCAGTTGAAATATACATTAAAATATCTCATTGAGATTTAATATTTATATATTTCTCTATTAAATTTTCTTTGTATAGTTTGAAATTGTGTTCATAGTTACACAAAAATGTGTAGTTTTTTGTCATCTTTTGAATTTAATATTGAAATGTCTTTTTATCTCTATACTTCTTAAATTATAGTCTACTTTTCAGACATTAGTGTAGCCTACATTTGGGATTCGTTAATCACACATAGGTTCCTATGGGAGTCTGAAAGCCTGTCAGTCAGCCAAGCCCAGCCGTATGTACAATGCTTCTAATACCATTTCATTGTTTTAATTATGAATGAAAAATAGCATTAGCACAAATTTAAGGAAAACTTAGAGTGTAAGAAATACAGACTAAAGTGAATGAATGATCTCAGAAGGTCATAGAGCCTTTAGGGAAGGATGAAAGTTGTAGAGTTTAATTTTTATTTTCAGAGCAAAAGGAAGCTAATGTAACAATGAAACAAGATCAGGATGTTATAAACAAGATAAATTCTTGAGACTAGGAAAGTGTACATGTAAAAAATGTTAGGTCACGGGGAGATAGGGTGGGATCGGGAGGGGAGGAAGGAGGGGCTTATGGGGGGATACAGAATGAATAAAGTGTAATTAATAATAATAATAAAAAAATGTTAGGTCACAAATTCTTTGATGATATCAAGGCCTATCAAGGAATATTGCCCAGAAACTAAAACAAAAGATTGTTTTAACTATAGAAAAACGAAACAAAACAAGAAAATTAGAATTTGGTGTTGATATGAAAAGTTGAAGTTCTAGAAAAAAAGGACAAGTATTAGAAAGGAACACCATGAAAAAAAACAGTATAATAAAATTTACCACAGAGAACACAGAGTTCCTGTTTAAAGGGTTGAATGAATATCCAACAAAATCAATGAGAAAGTATTGTGCTTAAAAAGCCTGTGGTATTACAATTTCACAACACAGAATGTGTGTGGGGAGGAGAAGGAGGCAGAGGGAGATAGGAATGGAGACAGGACAACGCAGAAGAGAGGGAATGAAGAATCAGGACAGCCTGTTCAACAGCAGCAGTGAGGAAACCAGAACACGAATGCCTCACTGCTCATGCTAGAACACAAGGAAAGTGTTTTCACTACAAGTTTCTGCACAGTCCAACTTTTAAGCACATATTATAATGAAACAGAGACATTTTCAAAGAAGCTAACTTAGGTCAGGAAAATTTTCTTCTTGTGTACCCTAACCATG